GGATATTGGCCTCCTTCACACTTTAATCAATAAATCTGGCTATTCTACAGCTTCGGCTTCAGGTTAAGTAAAATCTATTCTCTTTAACTTGGCATTTGAAGAAGTCAATATACTTGTAAAAATGAACAATCGGCTCCCGATCCATAATATTGATTCGTATTCGTATGCAGAAAAGATTTTAAAATACGAACCATTAGGGCTTCGTGCTCTTAGTTGCAAGTATTTTTGTGACTTCGACTAGTATTATATTATCTTACATATTAATTTCTTATGTTGCTATGGTATTCAGCCATATTGAGATAAGATTTATTGCTTGTGCTCACAAAGGTAATTGGAAGCCAAAAGTTTCATAATATATCAACTTATGGAGTTAGGCTGCAATGCAGGAAGAAAATATGAATTCATAAGAAATGCCATTCTCCTCTAATTATGCTGAGGATTCAGAACATCAACTATTTACTAATCTATAACTTGTACATAAGAATGTATCGTAAGATCTTCCTTATTAATTTTGTAAATTTTCGGCCTATTATCTATTTTTGCTTTTACGATTATACAATCTCAAACAAGCTCCAATAAAGCTTCCGAATCCTGCCTTCTGAATTTAAAATTTATTAGGAAAGTTTTTTTATTTATAATCTAGCTCGAGAGAGAAATTTTGAAAAGATGAAGCAATGAAATGGAGTTATCTCTTTTCTATTTATTGCCTTATATTTATCAGGATAATGTAAAGCTATTTCTACTGACTTTTTCCAGTTTCATCATCATGCGGGCCCGAGATTTCTATCCTTCCAATTGGATAATTTCAGCCCATATCACTCACCTCATTTTTCTATTGGCGCAGGCTCATGTTAGTTGCAATCGCCAATGCAATTTCGCCTACAAGTCTTAGAATTAGCGCTATCTTCACTGGCAGGGATACGACGAAACAAAGATGGTCAAATATATCTTTATTATTCAGATACTTATGGATTAAAATTTTCATGTATTTAACTTTGGCTGAACTGCTTAATGCCACTCAATTAAAATTGGTATGCGGTTTTCAGAAGGATCTGTGGTGCTAAACGTTTTGCCAGAAGGTTGGAAAGATAAAAGCCTAGTTTAATGTCTCGACGATATACGAATCTTTCTACTAATGGAATTTTTTGCTCCCTTATTACGGTCGGATAAACTCGATACACGCAGATTGAATCAATTTATGTGTATTATGTTGTTCATCTACATACTACAATGCTTGACAGAGGCCTCAAGTCAAATGCGTCAGCGCCCACGCAACAGATCTATTTCTCACCATTTCACTAGGAAAACAGCACGTATAGATGGAGATATAATGATAGGATGCCTCTTTCCAATCCATGAGCAGCCAACTCTTAATTCTACTAGATCGAGAAAATGCGGAGCGGTCCGTGAGCAGTACGGTATCCAAAGGATAGAGGCGTTAGTGAAGGCTGTGCGTGAAATCAACGATGATCACACTATACTTCCAAATATTACTTTGGGCTTGGACATTCGGGACACCTGCTGGTATGCACCCATTGCCCTTGAGCAGAGCATTGATTTCATCAGAAACGCTCTTACATACATGGAAAATGAAGGGCGGTGTATGGAACAGTTCCCGACCAACTATGAAACTATCAAAAGCGTTAAGCTTCAGCATTGCCTTGATGAAGCAGTTGGTGTGGAAAACAAGCCTATCGCTAGCCTTATTGGACCTGGTTCAAGTCATGTCTCCATGCAAGTTCAAAACCTTCTTCAGCTTTTTAAGATACCCCAGATAGGTTATTCAGCGACTGCTATGGAGCTCAGTCGAACAGATGAATATGCTTACTTCTTGAGGTTGGTGCCACCCGACTCCTTCCAAGCTCAAGTCATATTTAGCTTGATTCAGCAGTTTAATTGGTCCTATGTCTCCTTGGTCCACTCAGAAGGTAAATAGTTCATTAGTAAACGTGATAATCAATAATCAATAATTGTAATATATTACAGTTTAATAATTTGCAATAGGCTATAAAGCAATTTTAGTTCTTAAGGAATTCTAACTTGATCTAGATAATTGAAAAAATTGCAGGTTTCATGAGATAAATTGCATTTAAAATTGTTATCTAATTTAC